ATAAGGTGAAATTATCGACTCGAAGGTTTGTATAAGCCATCCAGTTCTACAACAACGAAAAAAAAACGACATTTAAGGTTAGTGAGTCAGTTATCCAAGGAATTGGACCAGTCCCTATAGAAGTTTTACTCAAGTAGGAACCTGATTATAATTTAACAAAAAGAGTACTGAGCTGATAACCTAAGTATATCATTTTATAAAACCTTCTGGTAAGATTTAATTTAAGTACCTTTTACTCATGTACACATGGTAACAGAGATTTGATTGCACTGACAGTTTTTGTTTCTTTCAATTTGGTTTTTGTTTACCTTTTTCACCAAATGTCTTGAAGGTGGTTCTAATAGAATCAATTACTTTCTTATAACTGTAGGTATTTTATACACATATTTGTCCTTTTTTATGTAGTTTAGGCACTAATAACGGAATAACTGCGAGGAATGATAATTCAAAACTAAAAATGTATGGTTAGTTCGACTATTTATTTGTAAGTATTCTGGTAAATTTTGTGTACAATACAATATATGTGTAGCTTAGAATGCAACTGAATGCAATTGGATACAGGTCTTTAAAAAAGTGTTTTATCTCTGCTTACAATAGTAATGCCTTTGTGAAGTCCGTCGAAAATTTTTACTTCCCTAAGGCAGATTTTAAAACTGTCTTCAGTCAACTCCTCCACCCACACTGCCATGGCGTCTTGAGGTCTCTCAGGAAACTGGTGACTAGGAGTCGCAAGTACGATTGGAGGAGTCGCAAAACGCTATAAATAAAGAAAGAAAAAAGATGAATGAGTTAAAGACCCTGAAAAAAAAAAAAAAAAAAAAAAAAAAAAAAAAAAAAAAAAAGACAAAGGGAATTTACAACTGATTCATCATGGTGTAAACACCAAAAATTATAATCAGGGACCGTGACTTAAGTTAATTCGAGCACTCTAGTAAACAGTGCTTCATCTCTGTACAACAACAACAGCAGCAGCTGCAACAACAACAAAAAGAATCTGATTTATTTACGCGCGATTCATAACATTACACGGACTTTCACCCACATACAGAAAAAACTTCTTTTGGAAGGAGACACTCACATTGAAGGCGTGAGAAAAGGACAAAAATATTTTACAAACAGTACCAGCTATCGTAAAATATAATTACTATGTGTAAAGTTATTTAAATTACAAAACAAATTTGGCCAAAAATACAAGTTATATCTTCTAATATCTTTCCTAAATAATTTAATTTCAGTTTGTGTACTGTCTTTAATGATTATATTTCATGAAAGATTCTCTAAATAGATTTACGGTGGGGAGCGTAAGCCTGACTAATGCCAATGTTTTATTGCTTTTCGACTCTCATATCTGAGAGTGTAATAATCAACGGATGAAAGAGTGAGAGGGTTTGAGGTCGGGGAGTGGAAATAGGTGATAATAAGAGTAGGCTAGTGTGGGTCAAGGAGTCACGGACATCTGTCTTAGTTATAATAATGCGCATTCCAAAAAACAAAACAAAAAAACAGCCAAACAAAATACAGGAAAACAAAGAGGGAGAGCCGCGCAACAAAAGATCACAGTACAAAGTACGCTGTTTCATTGTATTAATCGCTCTGAAATTAAAACAAACTAACGATTCACCTTTTAGACTTTTATCGTCATTTCCTGTTAAATCTTGAAGTCCGTGCATAATAGCACGTACAAATGTATACAGGTAGTTGAACTTGAAACTTAAGAGGCCCTGCGCCTAAGAAACGACCGATGATTTCCGGCTAAAAAATAAAATCGGCTGATTTTTATCTCCCGAGTAAAGGTTACCGAATACTATTCAAAAATGAATTTCTTTTGTTTCAGTTTCGCTTTAAACCAAAAATATCGAGCCGCAAACGTTTTCCGTCTGATAGCAGCAAAATCAGGCCTAAAATCAACCCTCGCAAAAAACGGTTCAGAAATCACTATCGCAACGCAAAATAGCGAGAAAACCACACAGTGATGAAGAAAAAGGCCTTTTAATGCAATATCATTCGATAAACATGGAAAAACTGCCGAAGGGAATAAAAAATAAATTTTCAAATATTGGATATTAAATTAGATGGAGTGTTGGAGCTGATTTTAAAATAATAATTTCTCAAAAGTCCAACGCTGCTGAAAGCAATCACAGTGATGAATTAGACATTGGAGGGATATACATTACGATTCTGGAAAAACATTTTTCGGCCAAAGCATATTGACGTTGTACAAAGCGTTCAAAGTTGCAGTGTTTACCGTTATCTTGCTACTTCGGCGAAACACTTCTCTGTTGCCAATACGGCCGTGGATAGCGTGGTAAACGCCACTTTAATCCTTGCTAGGCTTTCAGAGACCATCCTAAGTAGAAGGACGTAGAATTAAAAGAGAAAGGAAGATGAAAAATAGGCAGAAGAAGAAAAGAACTCGAAATTACCATCTGCTGACGAAACTTGAATCTGGAAAATGTCGTCGCGTGACAGCGGCCAATGACGTCATTTGTCTAAACTGCGGCTGAATCTAAACGAATGCACAACTTTTTCTCGGCCAGAAAGCACTTAGTGAAACAAAGTTACAGTAATGTTATTTTTTCACAAGCGATGGTGACTTAAAAAGAAAAAATTCCCGAACCGCCGCACCGTTTTGGCCTCAGCGTGATCTGATCGTTGTGGGGTCACGAGTCGACGCTTCTGGTCAGCGGTCTATTGAAAGAAATCTGATCCCATATTTTTTTTTTTCCGGCTAGAATCATTCATGTCAATGTCCAATGTCTTCGTTCAAGGAAAAAAGGAGAGAGATATTGGAGTACTGTTGCTCCCGAGAACGAGGAACATCTTGGTCCCAAAAACTGAGTCCATTACGCCCAAGAATTACGGTTTTTTTTTTTCTCAAAGGACTATTATCTGGCGCTTTAAAATGTAGCTAACAGATTCAATTCTTGGCACAATGATTAGCGTCGCGTTTAGTATTTTCTTGGACATGAAAATATCGGGGGTGACGCTATTCGGGGGAATGGCGGACTGACGGAATGACGGAACGGAATGATGGAATACAGGGAATATTCTAAAATACGGAATATACGGAATACTCTAAAACGCAGAATAAGAGAAAAATCGTTTAAAAAGGGTATACATGTATACAGTCGACTCCAATAACTCGAACCCTCGCTACTGACTCGAACCTCGTGCTGACTCGAAGTAATACTAATTTTTGTTTCTCTTCAGATCATTTCTATATAATTTTACCCTCATTAACTCGAACCATGTTTTAAGCGCGTGACAAGTAAAAGAATTGGCTTACCGTAATGATTCGATTTAGCGCCCAGGCGCTTATTTACTTTTGGTGCCTCTAGGGAGGACGCTTATTCGGAACAGGGCGCTTATTTCTTTTTTTAGAAACAGCCAAATGTTAAAAAAAGAACTTTGATATTTATTTAAAAACGAACAACATTTGAAACTGTAGCAGTAACAAATACTGACGGTGAATGCTCAGTTAACGCGAGGGACTTACCTTGAAACTTGTTGGGCACTTTGTCGATGGAACTTTCCTTCCTTATATTCACCTTTCTTAAAAAAGCTCGCAGTCAAAACAAAGTGCAAGTCGATTAAGGTAATGGATCAAGGAGACTGGAAAACGGGCTTGTTGTCCCTGGATCCTTCCTCGCCAGAACGACCAGCCGAGCAATCTCCACAAAATTTGAAGAAGAGATCATTCCTTTGAAGACTTTGAAGACTCTGGAAAATCTAAAGCAAGCGACCGGACAAATTTAGGCACAGGTGCGGCCCCCATTAATTGGTAGTACAATCCTGTCAAGCTTAAGTTTACAATTCTTTTTTTTTAGAACAGCCGTTTTATGAAAGTTATCCGACATTAGATTCCCGTGATACCGGACCCTTCACCCGTCAAGATGGCTTTCAAAACCGTCATAAGGTCTATAGTGTGGCTTACGGCAGTACGAAAATTGAATTTTTAATATTGCCTCTGCTTTTTCGTCAGTCCAGTTCAAATCAAATACAGAATATTCTGTAAATTCCGTGTTTTAGAGTATTACGTATATTCCGTATTTTACAACTGATTGCATGTATTCCGCCATTCCGCCGAATAGGGTCACCCAAATATTGGGGAGGACATCATAAAAAAATATAGGAGACCGGTAGGACTTTTAAATCGATGAAAGTGCCTCACAAATTTTGCAACTTCATTTTATAATATGCTTCATAATTTGTTTCCACAATAATATTTATGATATTTAGATGATAACCAATGCACAACGCACAACTTGTCACATTACCGATTGGACAGCATACCATGCACTCAAACTCTTGCGCAGGAAAGTTACAGTATGAAATTATTTTTTGCTGCACTCAGTCACATTCACGGCTTTACAATGAAACCTTGGCTAAAAGGTCTCTTTTTAGATCTGTAGATTTGTAAGGTATTTCGAAATAACCGCACATGTCTTTCAACACTAACATTGAAAGATGAAAGTTTGTTGCAGTGATAATTATGACAAAGATTGTAAACATCAAATATAATTGGATGTTTTAAGCCCAAATATTATATCACCTCTTCAACAGCATGGATGGGGGAAATGGGCGCTTACGCTTTTTTGCAAACGGTATTTCGGTAATTTGGATTTTAAAGTGGGGTATTGCGGTATCATTTATATTATTTTAGCCCTGTGGTATGCGGTATTTCTTCCTTTTGGTTAACGGTATTCGGTAACAGAAGATCACGGTATTGCGGTACTGTTCATTGCCCTCTCCTGTTTAATGCTAGCCTGCGTAGCAGGCACGGTTTAGATGACCCCTCCCTCGCGCGCGCTCGTTCTCTCTCGCGCTTACTACTTCCAAGCGCCTGCTACGCAGTCTAGTTTAATGAACGTCGGTATTTTTAAGACTTTAGATTAATGGTAAATGGTTACCATTACACAATTTCTGACAGATAATCTGTGATGAAATTGGTAGGGTATCTTTTTCGTTCGTTCTACCGATCAATTCGAGGTCGTCTCACGTTTCCTCGCAAAATTAAATTAAATTGATTAAATACCGCAATACCGTGAGAAAAATTGGTAAACACCGAAATACCGTGTCAAAAATCGACGAAATACCGATACCGCATTTATTTTCGGTATTGGGTACCTACCAATGTCCCCCCTAACATGGCGCAACTTCGTCACCTTTCTTCAGGTCCGCTGACCCCTACACGCGCTGACCCGTAACGTCCGTTGGAATGTATGTAACGAAATACAAGCAACCCACATTCAAAGTACTTGGAGACTAGCTGAGGCTGAATTCATCATCATTAATAGGAAAAACATCAAACTGTCTCATTCACGATTTCTGGTGATAGAAAGACTGTTTTTTTTAAAACTTATATATTTCACGTATTTGTTTGGATCCCGCTGCAGTTCGGACAAATGAACGCTGTCACGCGACAACATTTCCAAGATTCAACTCTCCTTAGCAGATGGTAATTTCGAGTTATTCTCTTTTTCTGCGAATCTTTCATTTTCCTTTCTCTTTAAATTCTATATACTTCTATTTAGGATGGTTTTGAGTGCCTAGCAAGGCTTAAAGTGGCGTTTACCACGCTATCCTTGGCCGTATTGGCAACAGAGAAGTGTTTCGCCGAAGTGGCAACTTAACGGTAAATACGGTAACTTTGAACGGTTTTTACAACGTCAGTATACTTTGGCCGAAAAATGTTTTTCCGAAAACGTGATGTATATCCCTCCAATGTCTGATTCATCACTGTGATTGCTTTCAGCAGCGTTGGACTTTTGAGAAATTATTATTTTAAAATCAGCTCCAACGCTCCATCTAATTTAATATGTAATATTTGAAAATTTATTTTTTATTCCCTTCGGCAGTTTTTCGGTGTTTATCGAATGATATTGCATTAAAAGGCCTTTTTCTTCATCACTATGTGGTTTTCTCGTTGTTTTGCGTCGCGATAGTGATTTCTGAACCGTTTTTTTACGAGAGCTTATTTTAGGCCTGATTTTGCTGCTATCAGACGGAAAAAGTTTGCGGCTCGATATTTTTGGTTTAAAGCGAAACTGAAACAAAAGAAATTCATTTTTGAATAGTATTCGGTAACATCTACTTGGGAGATAAAAATCGGCCGATTTTATTTTTTAGCCGGAAATCATCGGTCGTTTCTTAGGCGCAGGGCCTCTTAAGTGACGTCAATTTTCTGTCTAAATTTATTGATTGAACAGCTGGTTAAGTTCCTTTAGAGGAATCGCATTTGCGGTCGTGACTTACATCCTTAACTATACCTTACATAACTCACCAGTTTCTGCCTTTTTTAGGTTAATCCCCCATGGGAACCTAGCTTGTAGCAATCGTAGCAAAATGGAACGTACCTGAGGAAAGTCGATCTTTTTACATTCTGTTCTGGTAGTCCAAGAGTCCAGGGAAGTGGTTCCTAGTTGTACTCCTTTGGGAGCAGATTGTAGGGCAATCCAGTTTATCTCAGCGGTTGAATTTGAGCCGTCGCTGTACTCGTAGATACAAGCGCGGAATTGAGTTCTATCTGCCGATTCCACCCAAATAGCAGCACCATTACCACGGGCCTGGTTGTTAACTGAGAGACCAAAGGAAGAAAAGACTTTTACTTGCTTTCCACCAGAGAACGATTCAGCAAATGTGATTGTCTCACAAGCGAACAACCCTGGACTTTCGACAGTGATGTTGTTTTTTCCAGCTTTGAAACTGATTGCTATAAGAGAAGAAAAGTGTCTTAGTAAAAGTAAGCTCCCGTTGCCTCTGGGCTATTTACGGTGGCTGCAATATATTTTTAATAATTTCAAAACGCCTTCTACGCAATGGCCTTGAACATAGTTTAGTATCTTGCGCTTTCCTTGCGCGCCCCACCCCCGATTTCCGCGTTCTTTCTTGAAATGAATCTTTCATGAATTTTACCGTAGAAAATGACCATCAAATATCAGCATTCAAAAGCATGTTCTTAAAACATTTCAATAAGCAAATACTTCATGGTACCTTGACTTCCTTGAGCAAGAAGCACAGCAGTGCATACCGCGTAGAGGACGAACGGAAGGTGTTGCTCTCCCACCATCTTGGCTTAACTGAGGAAATGCTTCCTCTCATGCGAATAATATGCAGATTGTCTTTACGTGAAGGCATCATTTCTGTTGCGTGGACAGATGATGGAGCAGTAAAGCACCAAATTACCAAAAATGGACAAAATTTATCAAAGCCCTGAAGTTAAGGTCGAGTAAAGGGGGGAAACACTCGTCGGAGAATTTGCCTAAGTATTGCAGTAAATCATTCTGATTTCACAGAAAAATGACAAAGAAAGAAAGAAGGTAAAACTTACGTGAACTCCCTCAGGCCCCTTTTCCCTCCAAGTATTTCTCCCCCTCTCACTGTTTTGCCCCTTAGTGGTTTAATCCTGACGCTTTGAATAAACATCTTCCCCTCACTTATACATCGTACTAAGTATCTGTCCCAAAAAAATAATGGGAATTTTTGCATATACTTACCTTATTCCTTTACCTTCCCCTTTTCCTCTATAGCCAACTTCTCCGACTGCATATTAAATGTTTCACTGTAACTTTTCGCTTTAATGCAATGTTCCCGTGATGTACTATTTTTCTTTGCTAGTAAAGTGTCAAGAGTTGCGCAACTTCTTTTGTGTCTGATATTGCAAAGGTCATTGGCGGTTTACTCCCTTTTCTCAAAATGTGCACACAGAATCTTGATCATCAAGAAGAAGTAAAAACAAGTTCAATCACTGCCATTCCATAGCCATACCACTGCCACTACGATTCCATTTGTCAGTTTTTTCCCTTTGTTTCTCTGTGTGTAAGTGTTGGAAGCTAAGACAAGATTATAGCGTTCAATCCTTTTAACGAATTAAGCTTTCCAAAGCTTTTAAACTTTTAAGTAGGGTTTGATATTTGTGACGTCTGATTTAGACCAACAAAGAAGTAGGAGGCTAAGTTAACTAAAGAAAATTGTTTCTCCAAAACTGCAATAGTTTCAATTTAGATGAAAATGTTAGACCATTCGAGTTCTTAGAATTCATCCCTTTTGAAAGTGACACCTAACAAAAAATCCTTGAAGTACTGTCTACAATCCAAAGCTGAGAGCTAATGACGAGATTAGATCGCACAAGTGGCGGTTCCATCCCGAAAAAGGCTTTTCTTACGTACCTAGCTACCTCCTATTCCCTTGTTCGTACTTCATCTACCCAGCGCTTTCAACGCAGGATTTGTTTTATACAGTGCGTTTTTAGTCATTTTTTCTGTTAAAAAGAAAATCTGTCTAAACGACCAAATGTATTTCATCACCCTTGGGTGGGAGCAGTGTCATAATTTGAATGAATTGAAGTTCAAGCCGTTATTCGAAGAGAAAATGGCTAGTTGAAATTCCTGCTAACGACGCTTGCGTGATTTGATTCAATCTTTCTCAGTAAGCTCTGGTTCATTTTTCTTTTCGAAAATTCTAATATGTCCTGTTGTTAGCACTATATACTTTCCAATGTAGCCCCAGTGTATTTTCATTGTGATTTTACGATAATTTTTAGTAATCTGAACTTCAGGAGTAAAGGAGAAGGTCATCCCTAATGACATCAAAGCCACCCGCACTGCACGAACTGCCTGTTTACTAATTTAGCGCACGTTTCCCAGTGTTTGCTTTAGTCTTGATTTTTTGTCTCCATGTTTTCTTTTGTATTGTACATTTTAACCGATTATGACTCGTAAGATCACCAGACTTATCACTTACTGAACGCTGGCACCGAAAATCCGGCTCTTGACTAAAGGAAACCAGGCCGCTTGCAATTGCTTCAATTCCGGCCTCTGAGCCCTCGCGTTTTATAAGAGGGAATTGAGGGCCTGTCTTATCCTCTCTTAGTTTCTGCTATGTCATGTTATGACATAGCACATATATTGGCCTTCCTTGAGGGGTGGGGCTGGTTTATTAAAATTCAGGCATTCTACAGTCTTAAGAAAGTACAGTCGACTCCCTATAACTCGAACCTTCAAGGGAAATCGAAAAAAGTTCGAGTTATCGGCCGGGAGTACGAGTTATCGGAAGCTCGAAGAAAATAGCCGAGAGTAAGGTAAAAAACAGTTTTACTGCACAGTGAACATTTTCATCACATTTAATTGTAGAAATGTCCTCAAATGTCAAGTGAAAATTAAAAGATACTTCTAGATTATAAATCAGAACGTAACGAAACAAAACATAGCCTAAATAGATCATGCGTTTTACTGTTTTGAGAAGTAAAGCTGCTTCACGTTAGCCTGTGACAATCGACATCAGCCTCCATTTATAGTAAACTATACTCCTACAACACGTTAATAGGAAATCCAAAATTCAATGTTTCGGACGCCAGTAGACGGCTTTTTTCCCTACTTTTTAAGGGCTCAAAACATGGCTCGAGTTATCGAGGGTAAAATTATACAGAAAATGACCTGAGGGGAAACGAAAATTGGTTCGAGTTAGCGGGAGTTCGAGTTATCGAGGGTTCGAGTTACCGAGGGTAAAATTCAGTAAATGTATGACGGAAATCCAGGGGAAGTCGATTTTGGTTCGAGTTAGCGCGAGGTTCGAGTTAGCGAGGGTTCGAGTTATCGGGAGTCGACTGTGTTAATAATGAGCTAATGACACAGCATAATAAGGTTGAACTAAGGAAGTCAATAAATATACCGAAAAAATAATCCCTATGGTGGAACAATATATTTGAACTTCATTTTAATTTAAAATTAAAATTGCTTCAGATTAACACTGTCGAAATGCTATAACTTTTTAGCAGAACGTAATTTCGTGCAAAGAAGAATTACATGTTACTTTAAAAACATCCACGACTTAAGAACAGTAAAAGAAAGGTGCGAGTTTAATTTAAATCTCATTTAAATGCTGTTTTAACTTGATATCACCTTGCAAACATTACTATGACCATATCCCTTGAAAAAGTGTTGTGTACGAAAGACGGAAATCCTTTATTCCTCCAGCAACCGTTCAGCAACCCTGTCAGTCTTATCTTCAACTCTATCCATTAGTCACGTTCATGTATCATCGACCCTTCCCCTTAAGTAATCGTCACTTTTAACACCATATTTCGTAACCACAGCAACCAATTGTCCTCAAGGTTTATTATATTGTGGTTCTCTGTAACATTTTTGAATCAGAGTAGTCAAGCAACTATTAGTCCCCCGAGTAGTCTCAAAGAGTGCGGTCGAAAGAAATACATGAATGGATAAAACACGAGTCTAATTTTTTTGTCTCTCCTTTTTGTTTCCTTTTAAACCGTCCCTGTCCCTGTTCCTTTAAACATGTGATTACGGTAACCATTGCCTCCTGCTGTACAAGAGCATTTATCACAACTGTTAACATTGTGAGGTCTTTCATTCTTCCTCAGTGATTTAAAGCATTCCCCTCTACATGAATTTATTGTCCATATAAGCCTACAACTAGAAATACGTGTATCGTAGAACCTCGCGAAGCTCGGGTGGGGGGGACCCATAAGGGGTGGGAGGACAGAAGAGAAATGAAGTAAATCATGTAACTGGGGAGGGTGGATCTAATATTGGAAGCTGAGATGTACTTAATCTCCTGTGGATTAAATTTGAACCTAGTGTTCTGGCTTTAAAAAGGATCTTCTGAGATTTAAATGGGGTTGCTGTTGTTATCGAATGCTGCATAGGTCCCATCCCCCCATGTTCACTCCATTTGACCCTCCTCCTACATGTGTGTAATTATGGTTAACTCAATTCTTTACACAAATACAAAGTTGTATAAAATAGGTTTTAGAACAAATGATATATGTACTTTCTGTGACACTCAACCTGAATCATTAACCCATTTGTTCTATCACTGCTCACGCTCTAAACAGTTTTGGATTGAATTTGAACTATATTGGTGCCTTATTTCCAATGAACGCGGAATTCGTCTCTGCTTGGAAAATGTGCTCTTTGGAATTTTGACGAGAAATATGCGTGCCCTTTACTTCAATTGCATGCTGAACTATTTTATAATTATTGGAAAACTCTATTTGTGGGACTGCAGGAGCAAACAAATCCTTCCAAACATTTATGGATTTAGAGCCAAGATCATCGCTAAATATGAAACAGAAGAAAAAATCAACAACCAAGAATTCTTTAAAAGAAAGTGGATACTGACGCCTTATTTAAATTAACTGTATCAACTCCGTATTATTTCATTGCCCTGTTGTACTTTTTTTATAATTTCTTTGAGCCCTGTAATAATTTGACAATTAATTTTGCTTTACTCTGTTAATGTTAATGTCTCTTGTAAAAGCGCTTTTTTTGTTTTTGTAATCAATAAACATATATAAAAAATAAATAAATAAATAATTTGGACTTAAGACGATGAACTGTGGTCGAAATCGTAGGACTGGTACACTTTGGATCATAAACGGTATATGTTTTGCTTTGCGTTTAAAGGGCCGGGATGTTAATTTGGGGTCGTTGTCACTCCCTATCCCCCGTGGAACCGCGTGACCGGAATCGCATGATGGATAATAACAAAGTCATGAGCGTGTGCTTTGGTGCGTTTTGCTTTCGTTTAGTTGGACATTTGAGGACGTCAAAATATGTACGTCGATCATACCCTGTGTCTTTGACTTGTAAACCACCTATAATGTTGCTATGCTGTGGGTTTGTAACACGTTGCAGCTGTAACTACATTGGAATGCCGAACAGAGTGGCAGATTTCAGTCTTCACTCAAGTATTCCTCGTGTGTGGTTTGTTTCAGTATACCGGTATTGATTTCTTAATTTTTTTGTTTGTTTGTTTGTTTGTTTTTTTTTAATGTGAGAAACAGCAACAAAAGGGAAGTGCCCAAGAACAACCCACCCAAACATAATGGAATTATGTATTTTACCAATATCACACCGTCTGTGAAATCTGCTGACTCCCCAATATATTTTGACATTCCCTATTTGAATAAATGATACCAAATGTTAGTAGTATAGTAGCAAACGAAGTAAGAATTTTTCTGTGGTAGAATATCGATTACGCCGATGACATCATAGCCTTAAGAGCGAATCCATGCAAAAATCGACCAAAATCGCCGATTCGTGGCAA